AGACATGTTGTTTTTCACAGTTTTGTACATTTAAGGCATGTAGAAGGCGATATTAGTCTTTCTTTACACCTCAGGCTGCCTCGTCTTCACTGTGCTTGAAAACTAAGTCCAAAGTAGAATATCTCTTTAAGAACATCTGATACATGTTGGGTTAATTTAATATGAGTTTAAAATAGATGTGACCAGGGTAATTCTATAGGTGTAAGGTGGTTGTGAACATACTGTATGTGCATGTTGTTATTATAATGGACCTACTTTTTAACATACTGGGCATTAAAAACATAAATGTTGGTGATTTAAAAAAGTCCACATGTTCATTTATTAATTTATTTTCAATATTTTTCAAGGCTTTGAGAAAACCATTTGGGAATTGTATTCAGGAATATGATCGCAATCCTATTGGCCTCTTGTGTAAATGCATGTATTTGTGCATGCAAATATATTTACAGTAGGGACTAAATTAGAAAAGTCTGCATTCAAACATGCAATCACCCCTGCACGTGTGTTAATAGAGATGTTCTTTTACTCTCACTGCTACATATCTGTGACAAGCCGGGGTAGGATCCCCTTACATTTTTCCGCTGACCTTGAAAAGAAGGTCATTTTACAGAAACATGTTTGCATTGGGTGAATGATTCTACAGAGATTCGACTCGGTAAACTCAAGAACATGAACATAATTATGCAGGTGACTTCATGTGTTGACAGAAAAATGGTTGGAACGCAAAAATGAGAACAGCACACATGCTCTTGTCAATCAAAAGCTGGTTTGCACTGACTGAATATTTGCTCATTTTTTGTCGTTGTTTGAATTGGATCAGCTTTCACTGACATGAGACTGGTTTTAATGAACATAATGAAAGCAAACAGGGCTTAGTAATTGTTTTATAGGCTCCAACCTTATCATGCTTTAACACTACAAGTCACTCAAGCAAAGGAGACAGGCACTTATTTCCACAACATACATTCTCTTCAGTTTGTAAGTTCTTACCTGCTAGAATGACTAGAGGAATAATGCATAATGCAGAGTTCATTGTTGCCAATAAAACCAGGCAACCAATAACCAAGATCCAACTTCAGCACGCAGCCCGCAGACCTCTTGAGTATTAAAACAGCTAAAACATCTCTCAGCACTGGCATATAACTCACAGCATACGCTCCGAGCTCTTCACTGGCAGACGTGTTGTTATTGTCCAACAGCGGATGTGAGTGACTAGCTGCCAGTGCTTGTCATTTGAGAGGGCCACATTCTTTGTGATCGGCAAGATCAACATGCCGGAATAATCCACCACTGAAATATCCCATCCTGAACTTGGCCACACTCATCCCGAAGTGAGAAGAGACACAGCAAATGATGGCTGCTTTGAACCCCCATTGCTAAACTCTCATTACAGACTTTAAATCCGTACGCCGGTGATGCATAATGTTTAGCAACTAGAATGTTCATATGTCTCCTGTATGTATGTGTTTGTCTTCTATTTGGTAATCGAAGTTTGGGTGACGTGTGACATTTTTTGCATTTTGAAGGATGGGATCTTAAAATAAAGCTTTGTCAATTTCCTGCTTGACCTTGGAAACAGTATTTTACACAATGGTCTTGGGCCTTTTCAAACTATCATTTTGCGTTACATTGAATTACATGATCAATATCAATGTGCTGAGAAAGATCATGTAATGCAATAAAAGGCTCAAGGAACAGCTGAAAGAAGCTTGTCGTGAAATGATCTAATCGATTCTTATGTCCACCTCAATGTTTCCCCATATGTTTTTATTTATTTATTTGTTCAGCTTGTATCTATGTTATTTTTTTTGGAACACCTATGTCTTATCTGTATAAGTTGTATTGTTCTTTTACCACTGCACAACGCTTCTGTCAAATTCTGTTGTTTTGAAACATGCTCTATAAATACACTAAACTTGAAGCGTGAAGCTTGGAGCGTGAACCTTTGAGCAATGCTCGGTCAGGCAACATTTACATGAGGTTACAGTGTCTCAGATTTGGGATCTTTCTTCTGCAGCATGTAAGAACTTGTTTCTTAAGGGTAATGGTTAATTAAATAAGCTATCTTTTGGTAGGTTACATTTAACAAATCCTCTTAATATTACTTGTCGGGTAGAGAAAAAAACAGAATCTCTTGAAATTGTATGCATTCTGAAAATATACTGAATGAAAGATATGTGTATGAATACATGTTTGCATGTTTGTGATTTATCTAATGTTAAGGTTTCTTTTAACCTTTATCCACCTTGACATTCTAAGTTGACGGGCAAATAGATATACATAATTGAACTCATAAGAGCTTTATTTAAGGTGAATGATAATGTGAGATAAGAATAAAGTAAGAAATGTTTCTTTGGGTCTATCTGTATTTATATATATTTTTTGAGTGATGATATCTAATATGGTTGGTTTTACTTTTCTGCTTCAACAACATTAAAAGGTCTTTCACTCATTGTTGATACATTTCTAGTTGTTTTGTGGTGTATTGAAGAGGTGGATGATGAAGCTTTGTTTTAGAAAGTATTCTCTTAATGTCCAGTTGCCCCTAACAATCAATAACATTTAATCTAAGATAATTTAGATGCTCAAACAGCCTTTGTTTGTGTCCTGGGAGCCAGGTGTTACCCCCATATTCTCCTCTTTTGCTCTACCCCACCCTGTCAGTCCGTGATGGGTCAGGCAACTCAATTTCCTCCCATCCCGAGTCCGTTCAATCAGCCAGTCACTCAACCGGCCGCCTCATTCATCTCACTTAAGGACAAATGACCATTTTGGCAATGCTTGAATTAAGAGAGATTTGTCTCGACCCACCCCCTCTCTATCTCCAATCACTCAGGCCAGCTGAATGTACACCATGTAAGCATCGCCTCGCCTTTCTTCAGGTATGTAACACGGGACAGGCCAGCATTGTGTCTGCTCGCTGGACCTGCAGTCAGGCGCTCTGGAGCTCTGTCCAGTGGTAATTAAAACACTTTGAAGGCTCACAAGGCGTTTACAGTCTCCAGAGGACTGTGAGCTGTGTCTTTATATGGTTTATATCTGCTCTAGGTGATTAAATGTTCATTGAATCTGAATGAAAGCACCCATTTAATATCTGCAGGGGGTGGACGAAACTGGACCACATACTGGATGTTTATGCCTCGATGAAAATTAAGAGGATTAGAGGTTTTATAGAAGAGATTATTATGTGCGCTATATTTTACATAGTGTTCCAACATAAATATAAAAATTGGACTGCATTGATAGTATTTCTTCACAATCAATGGACAATCTTGTATAATAAACAGTATGTTGTAACACTGTTTTATAGTATTTCAGTTGTTTTGTTCAAAAGTAAAACAAATATTAATGTACAATGAATATAAAACTCAAGGAAATAGCATTCATGATTACATTGTTAATATTATTACATATAACATGCTCTATGTGAAATATATGTATATACGATATGATTATAAAAACAGAATAAATGTTTCCATTTTCAACAATTCACATGGATAAACTGAATATTTCTTTATAATTCAACATTTGAAAATGTATTCAGGTCATCAGTTTGCAGGGAGGTAAGCGTCATGATCCAGTCAACAAAGAAAGGTCAGTTATCTCATGGATCGCAGCCTTTCAAATGTAGTCTCATTACTGGGAAAGAGGCACATCCACGCACAATGCATTTGGCAGACATTACTCCAGCCTGGTGTTATCACAGCATCTGACTGAGGGGTAGGAAGCTCGGTTTACCCCCTTTCACAGTCAATGCCTGATGTTGATGAAAGTATGATATGTTTTAAAATGGCTGATAATGGCGGGGGAGGCTAATCGGTTGGATGAAAATCCAATTTTGCCACACTATCACCAGAGACAAGTCGGATTTCGGCTCACATTAACTCAATGTGATGTGGTCACAACACCTGAGTGATTAAATGTCAACCAGTGATTGCTTCTCTGATGCTTTGTGGGGAAATATAAAGCGCAAAAACCTAAACGAAGGCAACAGCTGAACTTGAAGACATAGACAAAATGGAGTTCAAAACGCTATGGTTACATCAGATTCAATATCCGTCAATAATTATCAACCTAAAGGTTAATATGCCCACGGAGGATATATATAATTTAACAGGAAATGTGGCATGAAGACACAATCCTATTAGAGCCTAAACTGTTTGAAACAGTGCTCTTGTATGAACCATTGATGGCTGTGCATGCCTGGTTTATATAAATTGCTTGGAAATACATAACCTGTGGGTATTCAAACACAAAATGCATACATTTAATGTGACATTGTTTGCACATATATCCAGTAATTAACAGTCTCTCGAGTGCACGACTGGTGTTGCCTTAGGTGTTGCGTGTTTGGTTTTAATCTCAAAGTGAATCAGTGTGACTGATGTGTTGTTAGGGGGCTTTTTGAAAAGTCACATGACATTTGGCTTTTAGGCAGAACCTGTCATCCTGAATGTGCAGAATGAAGAACTGTCAGTCCTTCCTGTCAGGGTCATCTTGCAGCCACAATGTAAGTTCCTCACTATTTATGTATAATATTTAAAGCAACATTATATAGTCTTTTTAAGGATACTGATGCAGTAATTATGTTTTTTATATATATTGCCTACATAAAAAGCAACAAAATGTGTTTGTCCTTCCCTTTAATTTTTGCTTTCCCTTTTATTATCTGCTGCACTCAGATAGGAAGACAAGGCGCCTTACTGCTTTTGTAGGTCAGAGTATTTTTGTAATGTTGCTCTGTGTATTGAGGTGTTTTGGAAAACAGGCCAATTGAGATGCAGTTGGCAACTAGCTGGTGAATATGGTGGATAATTTACAGGTTAAAGATAGAGATATTATGCCAGAAAGAAAAACTTTAAGTGAACGATAATGTTGCCTTGTCTGCAGAATCTATAAATAGAAAAAAGCAGTTTGCTAATAAGTTAGCCGTATCAACGTAGGTATACGTTTTTTTCCCTTTCAGATCTTTATTATGGCAAGTCAGACTCATTAAGCTCTTCATTTCTCAGAGTAAGGTTTAATAAATTAAAGTGATCATGCACAATTTGTGTACAAAAACATTACAATACAAAATTAAATTCACAAATAATGCTGTTTTTAACACAATATAAATGTTTAGGTCAGGCTAATGCACCAGTGTGTACACATCAACAGGAAAGGCTCATTCAACTACTCATTAAAACAGTTGAGAAGATACAAAAATACAGCATCATAGAAATTAACCCGGAAATATCAGTAGCTTATTTTTAAATCCAGCTATACAATGTTTAACAAAAGGGAGCTGAGAATGTGGGCTATAACTACTACAGACCAGACAAAAGCAAAATCACAGCGCTACACGATCTTAACACATGCTGGGTTACGACTACAAAGCAACAAAGACCTTGCACCATGCATGCTGGCCTGTCAGCTTCTGAAAATCCCCCGACAAAAATGGGGAGACATAGAGTACGTGGCGTGCAAGTGTTAAGTTCATCTTCCAACCCCGAAACAGGGAAGGACAGATGTTAGGTCAACACTAGTCCATACGCAGGGCATTTAAAAAAAATGTATCAATCAATGTAATACAAACAGTCATTCAAGTCTTTACACAGAAGAATGTTTAGATAGCTGTTCTATAAAAGTCTTGATCCATTTTCAGAAGAGCACGTCTTCCTTTTTAATGAGCAGCTCCACCACCTGTCTCTGGTAGCGGATGTCATTGAGTGCTGTCATGGCGTCAAGGTTAGGTACACGCATGAGGGTGGGTCCGAAAATGATGGCGAGGTTCTCTGCGTTCATTAGGTTGAATTGCTCATTCTGGGCCACCCTAAAAACATTAAAGTTTCAAAGTTAGAAACACAAACTGATACTGGAAATACAAATGTGTCGGGAATGTATGAAAATGACTTTGGTGGGGAGGTGGAATGAACATTAGGTTTTTTATTTTGATAAAACAAGGCCCACAATATCTGAAAGTAATGACTTTTTGTTTATGTATGTCTGTAAGTTGTTGCGATTGTCGGGACCCCCTTGAAAACGAGATGGTGCATCTCAAGGGGTTTATCCCAATGAATAAAAATGTCTATATATATTGAAATATAATATACAAGAACCAGTCTCTTATCATCCAAATGAAAAGAATGCATCGTCCCCCTTCCATGAAACCCCTCCCGCATATTAATTTTCACACAGCCCCTTCGCTCTTGCTGAGCCGCATTGCTAACCTTTTCAAGTGCGCCATTAGGTACTTCAGAGTGTCACTGTGTGATGGTGGCAGCAAAGCGATGGCTTCACGGAAAGCTTCCAGCTTCTTCTCTGGGTCTGTGAGCTCTGAGCAGAAACAGAAAGCAGGGTGTTGTCAGAGAGGCCAGAATACACTCTCTGACCACAGAGGACACAAACAGGAATCAATGTAGTTATTTCCTGTTGGGTAATAAAAGCCATTAGTCTCTGAGAGGAAGTCTGAGGCTGCATGAAATGGCTAATGCATTTTAACATTGTAAATGTGTTCTCGACTGGTGTGGTTGATGAAATGACGGGCACAATTGGAGTTGAATTACGTATTCAGGACTTGAATTCAGTGTTGAGTTTGGAAAGCCAATGGCTGATTCTGGGAAGTCTGTTCTAGCTGCAACTGAGGAAAATGACCAATGCATGTGCTTGTCCAACGCAGTATAACACAACAACCCTACAAACTACAGCCAGAATAATGCTCAGTTGTAACATAAATGTAATTGTATTGAAGGTTATTACATTTGATTTCATCACAAGTGTTTCTGTTGTTTTACCCACCTTATTAAGGCCAATATATTGCATTTTCTGCTAAATAAAAGATGATTAAAGATCACTTTACTTTGATTCCATGTTACTAGCAAACAACATACAGCTGAATACTGACTCTTTGTCCCCTTTATTGCAGCACTCAGGTGTGTTTCTGACTAATTTGTCTTGTGACTTACTTGCAGCTTCGATGAACCTGGGGTAAGCGTCGTATGAGATGATGGGATCGGGCAAATCCCTGAGGTAAAGTTTGAGTGCACCCGTGATGATATTGATGTCTTCATAGGCATTCACTGAGATGTCTGTCTTCTCGCCATCTGTGAGGATATGTGATGGAATAAGGGAGACAAGACAAAAATAGTTTTCACACTGCAAGAATAGCTGACAATCGACACCTTCACATCACCGTGTGAATTGAGGAATAAAGAGATTGTGTTACTGTGGGTGGATAAAAAAGCTTCCCCTCGCTCTGTATTTTGTGAAGTCGCTGCTATCATCCGCCTGGCCTGTTTCATTCTGACTTTCCCTCAGTTATGCATGCTTTCCAGAGCAGGCCATGGCCTACTTGTGCTGGCAGACTGAACATCACAGCGCTGTGAGCTGGAATGACACTCTGTCATGGATGATTTCCCACATGCGGATCTGGAGGAGACTTTAGCCCAGTGCTGCAGGGTTTTTCTTACAGTTAAAATTCACACTGCACTGGACAAAGACAGGCTCATTCTCACTAAGTCTACTACTGAATCCCAACACAGCGCAAGAGTTCTCTTTTTTTAAGAGCTATGTTTAAAGCAGTGAAAGAACATCCATGGTTTGTATCCCCTGAGGTCCCCCCCCCTGTCTGTCCACACTGTGAAAAGCTGCGTGAGATGGTCAGGATAGGATTTTCACTCCCAGATGGACAGTAATCCTCCACAAATGTGTCACTTTCTCGTGAATCTGAAATGCTATGTGTGTCATATGTACACAAATGAAGGCATGCAATGTCAATCATCATGGTATGAGTTGAAAGGAATCTATAAAGCAACACGTACCTTTGTCAAAAGCCATCTTGACCTCTTCTAATGAATCACTAAATCCAGATATTCTGTAAAGGCCTTCAGACTTCAATCCTTGAGAAAAATATACAATAATGATTAAAAACAAAATAACAACCTTTCACAGACATTGTCATGGCTGTCATGAGTAATGTAGAAAAATTCGCCAGCACATATTGCCTTGGGTAATTTAGGAAATGCCATTTAACACCCTTAAATATGCATAGGAAATTAAGGATAAAATGTCCACAATGTCACACAATAGAACAACACGGGCAGATGCAAATAGTTTTCTGCATCAGTGGGCAAAATAATAAAGACATAAATCAAAGTTAGCTACAGACATATATTAGTGGGAAGACAATGAGGGAGCAATGAGTTTCCTACATAGTTGAATGATTTAACTGAAACGCAATCAAATAAGGCAGCAGGAAACGCAGTAATGTATTCCTCATTACATGTTCTCAATTACCAGCACACTCATCACTCAGTCATCCCCCCCGCACAAAAACATTAACTCTGTTAGAAATGTAAGCAGACTTAAAGTAATGTAAATCACTTAGTATAAAAGTAGACGAACGCCTCAACAGTAAAGAGGAACAATAAACCTGTTTAAAATGCCTTAAGATTTACCGGACATTAGCTGAATAGGTTCAATAATTAATAGTTCATCAAAAACATGCTATAGTTTAAAATCTTATTTAATTGATTACCCACTGAATATTAAATATTGTCATTTAAATGCTTTAGCTGATCATAATGTATAGCTTTGAAACAGTAACAGCACTGACAAAACCATCTATCTGAAAATCAACATTTCCACATAAAGATTGATCAAATTGTTCAATTTTTGATTTATTTAAAGTGGACCTATCATGCTATATTTGAATAATATATTGTAGGGCCATGCCTATATAAAACATGTCTGTGAAGTTTTTTTTTCAAAATACCAAACAGATCATGCATTTTAGCCATGCCTCATTTCGCTCTATTTGCTCTATTCCAGCCCTGTCTTCACAAGGGCTGATTCTGTGGCAAATGAGCTGCAGCTGACCTTACGAGGCACGAGCGGCATGTTACCATGCTGTTACCATGCCACGCAACCTCTCAATCCCCTGATAGGTGGAGAGTTGCCCATATAGGCGGAGCACCCCGTTTCTGACGTCAGAACAATTTCAAATCTGGATCAGTCTGTGTCAGATCCGTTGTAGCCCCGTTTTTAGAGATTTGGGTATGGAGGAAAAGAGAGAGGGTTGTGTTTTCTGACACTTGGTGAGTTCCCTGACACACCGGGGACACATATTCATGTATAAAAGACGTACAAAAGTGCATTTTGCCTGATAGGTCCCGTTTAAGTTTTTACATGTATAGTAAGTCTCCAAAATCAAAGTCCCTGAGATGAAACTGATAATTGCTCGATCTAAAATTTCAGAAAACAAAATACTGTCCAATAACTCATAATCCATTTGTGAATCTGAAGTTTTTTTATGATTTTTCTGCAATTAAATCTTTAATTGAACGATATTTCAGAGGATAAATTCCACATGAATTATAAATGCAATGTGATGTATTAATGATATAAATTCAGCTGCTTTTGAATGTAATAATTAAGTATGCAGTAGTGACTTAAATGAGTACAGCCTCTCTTTGTTTGTTAGCAGCATGCCTGCTATAATCCTTCATTAGAAAGCCTCCACTCGGACAATTATTGCTTATTTATCATTTCTACATCTTGAGAGAAATAGCCTTACAGTATATTCTGTTATACTGTATATGTGGTGAATACACACACAGACGGATGTCCTGAACTGACCTCTTGACTCGATCTCTCGTATGCACATGTCCACCACCATGGGTCGCGCCGTGTTGTGAGCTTGCACCAGGGTCGTGAGGTCACAGCTGTAAACTTTACGGATGTGTCTGAGGTCCGGCTTGCAGTCGTTGGGCACCAGAGGAGAGCATTGTTTGTGGACGTTCAAACCACAATCTGCAGAGAGAGAGACATCAGCATGTTTAGTTCATGTTCATTTATGCATCTTAAAAATAGTCATATTGGAAGAGTGTAATAATGTTGAGGTTTAAAGGTAAATTCATTCTTATAGGTCAGTTTATTTGATCTGTAAACCGAGAATAATTATGCAAATGTACCTTAAACATCAGCTTAATTTGGATTTGATTGGCTGGTTTTATGTGTGTTTTGGCTTGCAGAAGGGAGTTAACTCCCTCGATCAATGTTTGCCCCTTAAATGTCACAATACCACTGGAGAGCTCTTTTCTCTCCACCACACACGGCATTGAAGTCACCTTGAGCACTGGACGATCCAAAGTCACCTCTAAAGGGCTATTGGTTCATTAAAAAAACGTTAAATAAAACTATGATTAACCACGAGACAGGGCATTAATCTATGAAATATTTCTGTGCACATTTTGTTCCTATTTGTATAAAAGCGTTTAGTAATTTGAACAGCAGGCAAATTGATTTGATGATATTAAATGTGTGGAAATGTTTTTTCCCTCCTTTCGTCCTCCTATATCTTTTCCTACATTGGTTGCACCACACTGGGTTTTTAAATGGCATATTAGTCATTATGTCAGTAAGTATCCCACATTGCGTTTTGTCTTCCCAGCAGATAGGGCCTGGGGCTCAGCTGTTTGAGGGCAGGATTCACCTTGTCGGGTACAGAGGCTCCCGTAGAGAGCAGGAGCAGAGAGAGTCTGCTGCTCTGCTTTGTAACAGAGATGCATGGAGGGAATTAGAGGAACACTGAGAACGCTGTGGCCTGGAGAAGGGATAGCCAACGCTGCTGCTGCTGCTGCTGTGTGCTCTATTCTTCTCCAAATCCAAGCTCACACACAATGGCTTCGGAAGCAGCAATTGAGGCGCTGCGGGCTACACTAGACCTAGTTTCCCAGACTAAAATGGGGCAGCTCTTCAAGCTCTCAGATCTTTTGAGCCGGCTCCAAGTTCCGAAAGGTTTTTTTTGGACAAATGCTTTTTGATTCCAAAAGATTAAAAAAACACATTTTGATCCCTCAGAAGAATCGCTACTTTTTACATTTTTAAATAAAAGACAAGAATCTATGCTACTGGAGTACCGCTGACAATATTGAGATTAATATGGGTCCCTGGAGAAATTCAAGCAGCCTGCATTTATATGCATTGATGCAGAAATGTAATTACTTTAAGAGATGATTCTCTTAAGGATATGAGACAGGCAGTATAATAGAGGACGGCCTGTCATCAGACACAAGTCTGCTGGGCTCTTGTTGTCCATGTGAGCACATTGACGGCCCTGGGTCCCAGGTGGGGAGGGTCAGAGTGAGGAAGGGACCCGAGGGAGCCAGGAGACAGAGGTTACTGCTTTACTGCACCGTCAGCTCTGTCTCTGTTGCTATGGAGGAGGCTGCAGCTCTGTTTTGTCTAAAGGGCTCTGAAGATGTTTAACGGTGGCTGGATGCACATTTCTAATCATCACATTATCAACATGTCGACCAGGAGAGACAAATAACGGTCTCTTTCTGAGACACAAAAAGCATCACTTGTATTTGTTAGATGGTTTGGATTTTTTTTTTAACCAAGTATTCAAGTGAAATAGAGGTTGAGCTGCTTGACCTAGCTCTTTGGTTGAAGCCTCTGCATTTTAATGTGTGTGGAAACAGAGATCTTTCCCCACGCTCCGAGCCCTGCTCCTCATTAAAGAGACATGCCAGCTTTGTTTTCCTTCATGGGCATGATGGGAGGAGGCTGGGGGGTGTACTCTGATGAGGAAATGTGGCACAACAAGCACAAGCAGAGGCTGGCTTTCTGGCACACGGCCAAAACCGGTTCACACATTCAAAAAGAAAAGGGGGTGGGAGGACATTTTTTTGGTATGCAAATGTGAGCCTCATGTGAGACTTCGCTGCCCTAGATTCTGGTAGCTGTGGCGGAGACTGAAGGAATGGCAACATGAGAGTTTTTAAAGATTGGCTGAACACATAAGTGCCTTTTTTTATTGTTGTCAGTGTTCAAAATCAAGACATCAATAATTAAAGCAAGAGCTCCCACAGATTTGTGTGACATACTTTGTATCATCAATAAAACATCAAAGGCACACATCAGGCTATATTTTAGCACTATTCTAGGATGTGAAGCAAATTCCAACAACACATAAGTGAAGCTGAAATCACTTGGAGTGTTTGACAAGCAAAACGGAAAATATAACAGCTCCATTTACCTCTCAGAAATACTGTTTGAATGTAACATCTATGTCTAATATGCTCATACTGTGGAGCACATAATGACAAATGCAACAAACTGAGCTTTATTATTTCTGTCAGCTGCTGCATTGAGCCTATCGTTGCGTGTTTAGGTTATAATGCAGCAAATGTTCTGCAAAATCATGGAAGTGGAAACACAGATCGCCTTTGTTATGGCAATAATGAGCACAAAATGTCAACAGCAACACAAACCCTCAGCTTGAAAAAGTAATCATTATTTCCAAAAAAGAATAAAGCTTCTTTTAGATTTTCTAAATAGTCCTAAAACTAATGATTCTGCGTGTTTGATCTGGTTGTTCCATTCACAAACCCAGTGTGGAAAAGTAGGTCAAAATAAGGTTTTAACATGGTGTAAAGTGCATGTTACATCATTATGAACAACAATATAGAGCTCTCATTTCACTCTATTATACAATCCCCTATACATGAACTACTGTTGGGATTTACTATTAAGACTCGATAATCCAGATCTGTATGCACTAAAAGCCAAGTAACCTATATACAGAAGTGCTTTGTACACCATGTACAGTTGGCTTCAAAGCAGTTTATATAATACAGTATTGATGTGGGCTGAGAACAACATGTACCTGCACATTTGACCCCCTGAGCTATCAGTCCCCACATGAAGCTGGCGCAGTGTTCACACCAGTGAGGCCCTCGGAAGGTATGGACCTACAACAGAGAGGAGGACAGGGACAGGTATTAGTGATGAAGTGAAATGAGAAGACAGCGGGGGAGCTGCATTTGCCATTTGCTCCATTGACACGACATCCTGTTCCTTAGTTGGCCCAGAAGACCTGTAGGTGCTGCCACCTTCAATGAGGCAGAGGAGGATTGTTGTTCAAACAAACCCTCAAACTGACAACACTGACTAGGTGGGTGACACCGAGGAGGGGAGGATTAGCCATCACGGCACAGTAGGATTTGACACTTCTCCAGAGTGAAGGTGCGAGATGTCAGGGAAACTTGCTATGGAAACAGTAGGAGGCCAGCCTGCCTGTGACAACCAATCAGGGAGGCCTCTGGGAGCGAAAACAAACCACAGCTCCCAGTTCTCCTCGCATTACTTCAACAGCAGACACAGCACACAAACATGCCCTTTTGGTAAAGAAATGCTAGCTTCTGACTCGCTTATCAAAGTGCAGTTGGATCGTTGTGTTGAAATATAAACCGATGGTCACCTAAGAAATTCGTTAGCAGTCAACCATCAACAATAGCTGATGTTTCTTTTCATGTTTACAGAACTATGATGACAATTTGACATGTATCTCATCAATATGTGCTGTTTATATATTTGTCTAGTTAGCTTAACTTGGTCTCTGATACAGACATTATCATGTCTTTCGTTAAACACATCCAAATACATAATGTAAATGAATGTAATCTCTGATAAAGGCAGGAGTAAAGCTCTTTCATTTGATCATTTACTTTTCAAATTGAAAACTTGTTTAAGCGGCCAGATGTTGTTTACACTCTCTTTATTATAAAGTCAATTAAATTGCACATCATCCTTTAGTTGGGGGCTTTGAACACAGGAACTATCTGCTAAGCGAAGATGCTGAAACGCAACATTCAGCAATCCTAGCAAAACAAAGCAGCAGAAATACATCGGTAAGCATCAGCAGTTTGAAAGCCTTGAAGCTAATGTTTCACCTGCTGCTCTCCATCCCATTAACCAGCCAAAGCAAGAGCCTGAGCCAAATAGGGAAACACTCCTCCTCTGTTTCCCCTCTCCATCGGCCTAATCTCTCCATCTGGTGCTCAAATATAACAGCAGCGGTCCACAGACCACCCAACAGATTTCCTTTTGATAAAGGCTCACTGGACAGACCCAAACAGCCCTGTTTTTCATCCCCTCTCTCCCACTCTGAAGCACTCCCCTCTCCTCCTCCCATCTCCCACAAGGGAAGCATGAGAAGCCCTCACATGATGACATTAAACCAATGTTTTGGAGTAGCGACAGCTGACAAGAGGTCTCTAAGTCTCACCTTGAAGTTGTGGACTTTCTCAGATTTGGGCGTCCTCTCGTTCTCCTTCAGTGTTGCTCTGCGAACCAGTGAGGTGAGCTGTGAATAGGCGAATAGTTTAAGTGGCTGCCAGAAAGTGGCTGGAGGTTTCTGTGGCCCCATCCTCATTCCCAGAGCTGCGGCCAGAATATCCTCCTGATTGGCCTCTCGCTTGGCCTTTTGCACAAGGGACTTCTCTTCCTTGTGAACCTCGTACGACTCTCTGGATGGCATTTCGCTGCTGCAGTCTCCCAAACCAGATGAAGGAACAACCCCAATGGAAAAGTCCCAAAAAAGGTGGGGAAAACTGTGTGATGCTCAGAGCAACTCAAATGATGATAGTTGCATGTTCCCAATTAGAAAGACAACAAAATGCACATTTGAATTGTGAGAAAACACTGAAGAAAAATAAAAAAAGAGTCCAGAAGGATAAAAACTGTGGTCCTTAGTAAATCCTCTCACAGCAGTGACAGTGGGTGAAGTGGAGCCTCTGTGGTGGGAGTGCCAGGTTTTATACAAAAGAAGTGCAGCTCTGGGTGCTCATGTGTTCTCTGGGAACATGTATGCAGATGAGCTGAGCAGTTTGCGCTAATCCTCTCCTCCCTGTGCAGAGCTGATATTCTCCCTGGAACAGAGACAGCACACTATTGTGTAGGGATGCCGTTAAGGCGGGCAGAGCGAGGGGGAGGAGTGCAGGGGGCGGACCCTGTAGTAGTCACAGCAGATTAAATGGTTCCCACCAGCCAATCACAGCATGGATACACCAGCTTTATAGTAGCCACTACCCCGCCCCCACACAACCGTCTCCATCAGATATCCAAGCAGGGGACCCTGGATGAAATGAGAGTGGGATGATAATGAGCAATGAATGAGTAATGCATCAAGAGAGGGCTGCTGCCGGCACAACTTGCGACAGCAGAGAGCCGTTGGAAAGGAGCTATTTTCAAAATCATGTTGCCACAGAAACGGGTCATGATGGGAACTAACATATAAGCACCATGCAGTCAAGAAAAATATGAATATAAATGTACACTTTGACACAAGTGATGCTCCAGCTTCCAAGCAAATACAATCCTTTTCATGTGGACTACACAATTAGAGGAAATGAAAATATAAACACAAGCTGATGAAGAATAAATACAAATATAAAGAATCTCCTGAAAAAGTGCATTGTTTATAATACACACATTGATGAAACAGCTTTTCAATATCCATTATCAAAAATAGATAAAATAATAACATACCAGTGCTCTGTTTGAGAAGACACTCCCATTTTGTATTTTGTAATATATTTTGAACCAAGCTGAATTTCCTTTGGTCTTGAAAGTGCTTTTAATAGACTGCCCTTACGTTGCAAATGAATCACCCTAAAGGAATTATGCAGTACATTTAATATTTCANACAGAGACACACACACACACACACAGACAGAGACACACACAGAGACACACACACAGACAGATTGCCAGACAGACAGACAGACAGACAGAGACACACACAGAGACA